CGGGTCTGCACCAGGATCACCTCCTGGTGGTGGTGGATGGAGCTGGGGTCGTCCGTGACCAGCGGCTGCAGCGCTATCATGGGCTCCCCGTCGTCGTCGTCGTCGTCCCCGCCGACCACCGTGGTCTCGATGGTCTCCACCGGTATCGTCTCCACCTCTATCTCGTGGAGCTCCACGATCTCGGCCGGCATCTCCGAGCCGTCTGTCTCAATGTACAGCGTATCTCCGGATGCCATGTTGAAATCCGCCAGCTTGCCTCTCTCATTCACGCCGTGTTGTGCTCCTCTGTGGACCCCACGAACAGTCACACGCCCCCGGCTCGGCTCCTGCCTCTCTCCGCTCCCTCTTCTTCGATAACAACTCTTCACTCCGGCCCACGCCACTTCTCGTCGCCACTATGCTCAGTCACACAGAAACATCGCGAGATTTCAGCGAGACCAGCGATAAGAGGGCTGCTGTAGTTCTGGGGGTTCCTGGGGGGTTCCCAAGGTTTTATGACCATCACACTCGGACGTGCGGGGCGTTTAGTTTGGATTTTGATTAATTTTGGGGGGACACATTAAGTATTGGGGTCTGAATGTCATCAAGCACTTAATTTCCTTCATTTTGGGGAATTTTTATGCACCTTTTTTGTCATTTTCTGCATCAATTTATGGTGGAAATGATGCAAAGGAAAACACAAAGCAACATAAAGTGCCAACAGAGCAATAATAATAATAATAAAAATAATAAACAATAACCCCCCACCAGCCCACCACAATAAAATATATTGTGAATGCCTCGTTAAAACAAAAACTGACGACACACTATCATAAATAAATGCAATAATGAAACAGCACAGGGCACAGAAATGTATAATTAAATCAACAAGCAATTAAAATGAGTCAATTAAAGGCAAAAATCAACATTCCCTGCTGCCCTTGGGTCTCGATGAAGGCCGCTGCTGACTGTTAAATTCAATTAAAAGTGCAGCTCTACTTATTACATTTGATTGTGTGCAAAAAAATAACAAACGTAACGCAAAATGCTGTAAGGAAAACATAAAAACAATAAAAGCAGCACCTTGCAGCCAACCACAAGCGATTATGTTACGAAGGAAGGACTCAATAAAACATGAACACTATCAGAAATAAATGCAATATGGAACACAAGAGGCAGAATCTGTCAAATAGTCAGATAAGTAAAATAAGACAAGAATAGAAAAGTCAAGTTTTAAAAGGAACTCATAATTAAATACACAAACAAACAAAAAAATGATAAAATCAGCATTCTCTGCTGCCCTTTGGTCTTAAATTCATTTTTTCCTCTAATTATTACCTATAATTGTGTAATGGGGAACACAATGTAACATAAATTGCTTTATAGAACAGCATAGCAAAAATAATAATAAAAAAAACAGCATCCCAGCGCATCATGAGTGATTATGTATTTAAAAAAATGTCTCAATAAGTGAGGAAATACCAGAGACAGGATCAGTCAGATGTACAGAATAATAAAATAACAGATAAAGAGACAAATAAAACTCTATATAATATACAATTAAGTGGACGGACAATGAATAAAACTTAATAATAAAACTAATTAATAGCAAACCCACCGTTCCCTGCTGCCCTCAGGCCTCGATGAAGGCTGTTCCAGACTATTAAATTCAATTTTAAAAAGTACAGCTGTAATTATTACATATAATTGTGTAGAGGAAAAACAAAAAAAATTCAGGCACATTGAGGAAATATTACAGCAGTTTTTTCCCGTCTCATGCTGTGGAGACAAAGTTTTCTGCAGAATATGTAGATTTCTGTGTGATTCCTACCAAGATGTGCACTGGTTTCCCAACAACAAACCCCAGACGACTGAGGAAATTAAAGCATCATTGAGCAGAAAGAAGGTGGCCTTCGTTCGCGTACACTGGGAGACACTGAAGAAGGTACAGAAGAAGCTGAAAGAAGAGATTTCTGAGGGCGAGGAGCTCTACAGGAGGAAACTGGAGAAGAAAGTCCAGCTGAGGAACATCAGGGAGGTGTGGAGAACTTTAGAACCATCAGAGTCCACAAGGAAACCATCAGGGCTCTCTGATGGCTCTCCAGTTTCATCCATCCATCATCTATACACCTTAATCCTCACTAGGGTCATGGGGGGCTGGAGTCTATCCCGGCTGACTCAGGGTGAAGGCAGGTTCACCTGGACAGGTCACCAGTCTATCACAGGGCTACACTTAGAGACAGACAACCAAGCACACTCACATTCACACCTACGGACAATTTACAATCACCAATTAACCTCAACATGTTTCTGGACTGTGTGGGAGGAAGTTGGAGAACCTGGAGAGAACCCACGCTGCACGGGGAGAACATGGAGACTCCACGCAGAAAGATGCCAGGTGTCCCCTTAAGGCGGCGACCTCTTGCTGCGAGGCAACGGTGCTAACCACCGAGCCACCTTGCAGCACCACTTTCATTCACTGTTCGTTTATTTTATATTTGTTAGATCATAGGCTGCTGTAGGAACTCATTTCCAGAAGCTGCACTCATTTTTTCCCACAAATTTTGGGATATAAAATTAATTTTGCCTGTAATGCAGCAAATGCTAAACGCTCACTGTTGACTAGATTCCAGATTTATGTCATAAAATCGTCTCCTCCTAACCAGCAGACAATAATCAATCATAGAAAGCAACCTTTTTGTACATTGATTAATATCATTTCTACCGGTTTGTCTAATTTTATTGATTGACGTGGAAACCTGCTGATTATGAAAAATACAAACTATAATAAATAATGAAGATTGTTGCCTTTCTTTCAGCTCATGTGCATGTACAGCATATGTTCAAAGAACAGGTTGTTAATCAGCAGTAATTGTAAGTTTTTCCTTGAAAAGTTGCAGAAGATTTGCAGCCTGCAGCACTGACACATTATTTCTGGCCTCTCTCTCTTCGTGCTGCTATGTTTGATGTTTACGTCAACATGATGATCAAACCCGTGTCTAAATATAGCCTCACCGGCTGCAGACGTATGTATATATAGAAAAATGTGTCAGTTACAGCTGCACAGGAAGCAGCAGTTGCGACGGTTTCTGCGTTGGATGCCGTCTCTGACATATTATCAATATTTATGAACAGCAACCCTGTGAGTCACATTTTCTTTGTGTTAAAAGCTGTTTCTGGACTTTATGCTGCTTAAAAAGTAATTCAAGGGTCCAGATACCACCATTTAATTAAATTTATCACTGCAAGATTAAAAAAAGAGTCTAATTTATTGATTTAAAGAAGCTTTTTAGTTGTTTTGACAGAAAAAGTGTTGGTAAATAAAACAACTTAATATTGTGTGGAATTTAAACGAATGAATTCAAACCAATAGTTTAAGTTGTGGTAAATAAATTAAATTAGTTTGATAGCTTAATTTTTCTCCACATTGAGTTCAAGTCCACAAAAACCTGTTTATGCTCCCAATTGTTGCGTAATGTGTAATTAAAAATAGCATTAATTAAAGAGAAAAGTCTAATTCAACTCAGTGTATTTTGTTGGTTGAACATAATTTCATTAGAAGTTGTCATAACTCAAAAAACTGATGCAAACCTGTGTGTTTAATTATATATTTTTAGCCTTTTCATTTGTTTTTATGAGTGTACAACGTATTGAGAGTTATAAAGTATTAAAGTCTGCAGAGTTGAATGCAATCTGCTGAACACAGTATGGACACAGACAGCTGGAGACACAATTACACAACTTGCAATATTTAAAATTGCATTAAAAATATGCAAAAATTGCAAATTATACTGCAGTCTCAGTTCAACCACATCTACAGATAACTGACCAAAATGTTCATAAGCAGCCAAAAATACAGGAACTTTTTGTGTTAATTATTGATTATTATGATCTTTTGAATCCATTCAGCAAACGTCTGCAGGACCCCTTCAGTACAGCAGCTTCCTACGTGGTGTGCAACACTTTTAGAAACACAATCAGGCTGCACAGAAGCCGTTCAGATGTTTCACACGTCTCACTCTCTGCTGCACCAGCTGTAATTCGTGGCACATTTTCAGCACAAACGGGTTTTAACAACAGTTTCTGTCGGACGAGAAGCACCAGACGGGCGTCAAAATAAATCCAAACAAGCACAAAAAGGAAAGAGACGACCTCATTTATCCAAGACATTGTTCACAGTTTTATTTGAATTCACTTTAAACTTGGTGCGTTTCTTCTTCGTCTTTTTTTTATTTTTATTTTTTTTAAATTTTTGTTCTCAAACCAGGAAGCACTTTGTCATAAAAGGAGAGAATAAAATGAACAATACGTCACCATATCCTTGCAGCCAATAAACATTTTTATTAACAACATGATCACAAATACTCTGGTGTATTATTTATTTATCTTTTTCGCTCATGAGATTGCAGTAAGAAGTTTTTTATGTTCCGCCCTCAGTTTCAGGTCGAAGCCTGTTGTTTTTTTGTTTTGTTTGTTCTTTTCTTGTTCTGCCGTGGTTCTGGACAGAACTGTGTCGGCGGAAAAGGATAAAAAACCCTTAAAAAAATGCTTCAGGTCGGACGACGAGAAAACGAAAAATCTGGGCGTGCTTGTAAATGTGTCTCAGAAAACAACCAATATAAAATACAAAAGGCTGATGTGCAATAATGTTATGAGCATTATCATTACTATCATGTTCTCATTATCACCTCCTCATTATTACCGCTGTACTGGCTACACTACTACCACTCATATCAACGTTACACCGACAACCATAAGAATGATAGTAATAATAATGGAAATGATAGCAAAAACTTGTGAAAAAAAAAAAAAAAAAAGCAAAAACAAACGAGCTTTCCTTTGGGCCGAGGACAGAGTGGGGCGGGGGGCGAACAAACAGACAGAAATGTTAAGAAATCAGAGAAATCAGTGCGACAGTGAGCCCCGTTCATACAAACCAAACGCTACACAGACACGTCCGAGGTGTTGCAGCAACGTTGCCGCGTTGCTTCAACACCACGGCTGAACAGGATGAGTAGATGTCACAGTTTGGGCCTCTGGTCCTGACGCCTCCTCTTCCTCCTCCTCCTCCTCTTCCTCCTCGTCGGGGCCACAGCAGCTGCTGCAGGATCGATGGTTCCAAAAGGTTCATGTCTGGGAGACGCTCTGAAAGATTATGTCGTGCTAACTCGACTGAGTTCATGTCTAATGGCTGTGAGGAGAGAGAAGGAGAGGGAGGTCAGACTCATTAGATTATCTGACTTTATAAACCTTAGTGTGTCCTTAGTGTGTACCAGGATGTAACAGGTTAGAGGAACTACATCCATCCATCCATCATCTATACACCGCTTAATCCTCACTAGGGTCGTGGGGGGCTGGAGTCTATACCAGCCAACTTAGGGCGAAGGCAGGGGACACCCTGGACAGGTCGAGAGGAACTACAGCACCTATAGAAGTAGCTTTACCTTTTTATTATTTTATTTATTGTTACCTAGTTATTATTTTATCTGAGCTGGAATAAGAACACCACAGCGATCATCAAACAGTCCCAGCAGAGACTGCATTTCCTGAGGAGGCTGAAACAAGCCTCTCTCCCTGCCAGCGTCCTCAGGACTTTCTCCAGAGCTGTGGTGGAGAGCGTTCTGACATGCTGCTCCAGCTGCAGTGTGTCAGACAGAACAGCCCTTCAGAGGACAGTCAGAGGAGCTGAGAGGATCATCGTAGTTTCCCTCACCTCTGTCTGTCCAAGAACTTCTCCAGAGCTGCTGCAGGAGCAGGACCCTGAACATTGTCAGGGACTCCTCACAGCCGCTCCATGAAGGAAGAACCTCCAGACTGATCAACAGCTTCATGAGATACGCTGTCAGAATGCTGAACTGCTGATCCAAACATGCAAACACTTGTTTATTTAAATTGCTTAAAGTTATTGGATCCTGAAGAAACGCTCTCTTATCTTGCCTGTATATAATATAATATTATATATATATATAAATAATAAAAACACTTCTATTCTATTCTATTCTAAATTATTTCAGCTTTTTTGACACAAATTTCCACATAAGACTCTTTCACGTCAAAGTGAAAACAGATATCTGCAAAGTAATGTCATCATTTTATTATAATACTGCAAATATATACCTTAAAATTTTTTTTTTTTTTAAATTTACAGCCTCTATTATTGAATTATGGTACTATTTAAAAACGTAGAAATACTTTTACTGCACTAATATACAAAGACGTGTGATACAGTCTGTAATTGATCAATTATTGCAATTTCTTAAACCTTTTCATCACTCTATTTACTTTTATATAAGTGTGTATGTACATAATGTTGTTATTTATGCAAAAATGTGAAATTAGCAGGTTAATTTGAATTATTAAATACATTTAGTCAATCAGTTTGGCTTCGTTATCTACTCATTTATACAATATGCAACACAATCTGCTCACTGGTGGCACAAAGTGATACATATTGTTTTAAAACTAGTAGATTGCAGCAATGAGAAAATGTACTTACAGTGACTCAAGTATTCATTTTATCTGTGTGAGTCTCAAATTGCTGCCTTTGCATGTCCTGATGTGTTGGATTTGTTTAGTTTTCTAGGGATTCAGTGCAGCCTAGTGGCCACAGCCGCACATAACCACCAAACTCCCACCATCCCGTCGGACAGATTTCCAATTAAATATTCATTATGATAAATTAGGGGAGAGACAGCGGTCCTGAATGCTGATTGATTGTCCCTCTTTAGCGTTTCGGGAGGAAATTAAACGTACCATCGATGATTTCATCCTTCACTTTGTGCAATTCACGAAACACCTCTTCCAAGATTTCCTGTTGAGGCACAAACACATAATAGAATTCAGGGTTCATTATATGCTGCTTTAATAACACTAGGAAGTACATTATTTTACCATTTAAGCTAGATTTTAGGAAGAAAGTGGTCTTTGTGGATGACAAATGGTCGCATGTGAGGACTCAAAGGTTTAAATTTTGCCTTTTTGTGACAACATGCAGTAAAAGTTGTGTGTTTTTTTTTTACCTGTTTCATTCTATCGAGGTCTAAAGAGTCTGTGTCGCTGCTGCTCCCCGCGGCTCGTACCCTGAATAATAATAAAAACAATAATCATTTGTTCCTGACTGCTTGTTGCTGCATGAAAAACCCAGACATCCGCGGTGCTTCCATCCTCACCTGGAAACCATCGCCCGGTCTGCAGAGTTCGCTCGGTCCCACGGCTTCTTCGCGCCATCTGGATGACAAAAGACCAGAGTTGGATTAAACAACCATCAGATGGACAGAGATACAGAGAAACACAGACGAGTTATGCATCTGTAGTCACCGCAGGAAGAGATTTGGACTCGAAAAGCAAAAACAGAACTTGAAAGTACAAACAAAATCTGTAAAACTTCTCTGAGACTTCACACTTAATGGGCCGAATCAGAGATTTATTTAAAATCACAGCTCTGATGAATGACTGATGATAACAGAACACTTTGAATCAACTTTCTTATAACTTCTCAGCCACATACAGTCAAAGCGAACACAAGTCGTGACTGTTCCTGTAATCAGTTGATTCAGTTTGACCTCTGAACTCTGATTAGGGCACAGACGCTCCTGATTGGATCAAACCGAAGACAATCAGTCCGTGTTTATTTCTGGCTCAGACATATTCTGACATCTGCACGCCTCGCAGACATTGTGCACTAAAGACACGCTCTGTGTCTGTGGTTTAGGAGCTGATGACGGATTGTGTGGTGTGACATGAACTCTGCAGCAACAACAAACAACAAACAACTCTCTGCAGGAGGTCATGACAACGATAAAGACAGAAGCAACATGAAAAACACATTAATCTGGAGACAGGATCACTGTGAATAATCTCCAGCTGCACTGTATATTCAACACCACCAAACATTTATACAAATTTGAAAATAAAAATGCTAATATAAAATTTTAGGGATGTTCTGATCAGGTTTTTCTGCCTCTAACTGATCTGAGTCCTTTAATATCTTCTGACACTGAGTCCTAAACTGAAACCGTTTTCCTAAAACACAGCTGCACATTTAAGACACGTTACAGTGATTAAAATCAATCTAATGTTTATGCCTGACAGCTGAACAGCTCTGCAATGTATTAAGAAAAAAAACTGACTGCATGCAAGCTGTTCATTAGTGTTATTTTTATTTTACGGAAAACAATTTAAACAAATTTATTAGAATTCAACCCAGTGCAGCTTTGTTTTCTTTAGCAAAACAAACAATAAAACAAATTAAAACATGTCCAAATAAATAGCTCCATAAACATAATAATATAATATAAGAGTGGTTTTGTCTTTAGAACTTTTTAGGTGCAAAAACAAGTTATTTTTACAACTTTTTAGTACAATTCTACGCTATCCTTCCCTCAGTTTAGTCATATCTTAGCTAAATTTATCCATCATGACACATCTGTACACGTGAAAGGTGCATGTAGTCCATCATTATCTTCTTATTTATTCTATTTTTGTACATCTCGTCTCGTGGTTTCCTTTGCTTCGTTTCTATCAGCTGCTGTCTTGTGTGGATTTCCCCAGTGAGACATTAATCAGGTTTATCATCACGATTCCCTTCAGAGCTGCATCATGGTTGTAAAACTAAATCACTCAAAATGAGTAATGCAATCACAGCTCCACTTAGAAGTGGTTTAATAGATTAACACTCGCAGTCACAACAAATGATGCAGCATTGTAGGAAAGCTAACAAATTAAAAATTAACAACAGAAACTTTAATTTTACACTAAAGTGCTGAAGCCACCAGCAGTCTGATCTGATAAAAGACCTCGTAGGTGGTCAGGAACCTTCTTATGAAGCTCAAATACTACATCAGAGGCAAATTATGGCACTTTAAATAATAAAAGCTCCAAACGCTGCTTTCATTCTTCAATTTAAAATACCTCCACAGTTCACAGATTTCATCCTGCAACAAACTGTGCTCTTTGTTTACAACACTTATGTGATTACTATTATTAGTATTGTTATTATTGTTATTGTTGTGGTCTGGAACAGGTGCTCAACATGTTTCACTGCATGTTATCCTGTGTATAATAAAGGTCTTGAATCTTGACGTAAACAAAGGACTGAACTCAGATTCAGCTCAATAAAGTTTTAACCAATCAGTTAAAAAAAAATGTCAGATCAGATGTGAACATTCCTAATAAATTAATTTCAAAATGGAAAACGTTCCGCTTCATAACACGAGGAGGGTTTGGATTAAGTTGCTGGTTAGTGTAAATGCAGACTTAGAAGCTCTGATGAAGGTAAATATTGACGCTAAATGTGCAGAACATCATCGAGTGCGTTTACAAATACACCAGCTTTAATGAGCATTTTTAAAAACCTGCCTAAGCCTCATTCCAGTTTCCATAAACCTGAACATGGCAGCTCAATGTATGACAATAAATCTCCTGTTTCCAGAGCACACTTGCTTGCAAATGATCAGAACGCTGGATTTTATATCATCATGTAAACGGGGATATAAAGAATCAGGTTTCTTCATGAGAGAGATTAAGGATTAAAACCAGGACACTAAACATCCCTCATCATCCTATATTTTGTGTTATATTGTTTATTCCTGCACATTGGATGATACATAAATAAACTGTTTTCCCACCTGTAGCGTTCTGTCCACTCCGAGTGCTGGGCGACGGAGAATTTGGGTCGTCCTGGAGAAAACAAAACGCCGTCATCTTCCTCATCATGATGCCACAGTTTAAATGATTTATATTTATTAATCTCACCTGCTTTAAAAACCAACACAAGTTATTATAATCTGCTGTTTCCTATTATGAGACGGGGCTTTTATCAAATCATCTCCCATGAAGCAAATGATTATTTATCATGTGATCATCGACATTCTGATGTAAACCATCACCGTGAGGTTCAGGGACTCACATTTTGGCTGTCCTCAGGCTTCTCTGAAGCTGCTTTCCTTCTGGGGGGAAAGAAGAAGCCTCAAATAAGAACAAAGGGCTTCATCTAAACCCATGAATGTGGATCATTTGAACGAGGTTCATCAAACATAACGATGCTCTGACCTTCGTGCCAGCAGAGCGTTCATCTCCTCCATCAGGCCTCCGCTTCCACCACTTGTTCGGTTGGCATCATTTTTGGCGCCTGAAGAGCTGCTGTCCTCAGGCTGGGAGAGGAGAAGACAGAATCCACAGTGAGAAGATGTTTTAACAGGTTGACGTGCTTTTACATGGACGGTTTGATGTATTTGGATCTTTTTAATTGCTGACACTTGCTTGTGAAGCTATAAAACAACTAAAATATGTAGATTTTCAACCTTTATGTCTTGGTTTTTTTTAGTATCTGCTGAAAAAAGAGGGAAGTAAATGTTCATCTGTATGATGCATGGCTGTTATAGTACTGAACAGGTGCAGTTACATCCAGTCTTGCTATGAAATGTTCAAACACAAACATAAATCAGCGCCTCACTCTTTGGACACGACGCAGTTTGGCTCCAGCAATCATGGCGGCGAGGCCCGTCGGCGCCGGCGGTTCGTCGCCGTGGCTCCCTCCACCGATGGGCAGCGGAGGAGGAAGAGGAGGCTGCGGCGCCATGGCTGACGGCGGCGGCGGGCCCGGCGGCGGCGGAGGCGGAGGAGGGCCGCCCATGTTCATTGGTGGAGGTATGACTGGTGGGGCCACGGAGAGCACAGCAGGGTGGCCTTGGAAAGGAGAACCTGGAGGGAGGCAGTGAAGGAGGCTCATTAGGTTTATTATCATAATGTGTATTAACAGAACCACCGGTGAGTGTTTTGGTTCGGATGTGTTTCACTACATGAACTCCGGTTGACCTTCCTGTTCGTACCTGAGTTGGAGGACCGTCGCTCTCGCTCCATGTGCGCCTGCATCTGCTGCTGCTGCTCCATCATTTGCCTGAAGGGACACAGAGGAAACACAGCTGGTAACTTCATGTCGAGTCTTCTCCTTAAATTCTGTCGTTTTATTGTCCTGCAGAAACAGTCCAGCAAAACCTGAGAGCCGCAGAAAAAAGTCCTTCCTGGCTTAACGCCGCAGGAAACTTCAAAAACCGCAGTGACAAGTGTTTCATAAATGTGAAATGTACAGTAGCAGCTGCCAGATGCATCATGTGCCAAATATAGTAAAGATAAAAGCCCCACAAACGTAATTTATGTTGTTCAACCTCACTGCAGTTCCAGCTGCAGGAGGAAGGACGGCAGCTTCTTCATCTTAGATCTCCATCGACGTTTGTGTCAAGGTGATTTTTTTGTTTTTAAAGCTGTGATATGATGATGAGGTATTCAGATTCTTTACTTTAGTGAAAGTACCAATACAGCAATGTGAAAATACTCAACTTAAAGCCCTGCATGAGAAATGTTACTTGAGAAAAAAAGGAAAGCAACAAAAGTCCTGATTCGGCCTCTTTGACTGGTATATTATTAGATTATTAACAGTGAAGCATCAGTGTGTCTGCAGCCGGTTACTGGTGGATCTGCTGCAGGTTTAAACTACTTTATATGAGTTTTATAGACAGAAACAGAAGATAAATGTGAGGATCTGTTTTCAGTTTTCCTCTCATCTCAGATTTTTGCTGGGTCATATTTAAATGAAACCATGTGAGAAGTTTAAAGGGAGAAAATCACTGCTCACTCATCTGAAATGTGAACCTGACAACACACTGAAAAAAAAAAAAAGTCAAAAAGGTTGGAAACCACTGCTTCATCCTTTAACTAACGTGTTGTATTATCCATCATGTGTCAAATCGGCATCATAAAGAAGTCGTTGGATAAATGTAGTGGAGTGGAACGTAGAATATTTCCTTCAGAAATGTAGTAAAGTAGCAGAAAATTGAAAAACTAGACATCAAAGTAAACACTGAGCCACAGTAGCATCCACCTGATGAATGCAAATCTACTACCAGGAATGATGAAGAAAGCAAGAAAAACTGATAATTTATAGAAACATCTTTATTTTGAAGTCACAAAAGTGCCTGTTGAACTTGCTGCTGTTTAATATCAACTTAATATTTGGTATTTAAACTGTGCAGACTGGATGTTTTACTTTGTTGGCATCACCAGGCTGCAGGCGATTTAAGCAGCATGCAGACATCGTGGACTCCAACTAGAGGAAGTATTTTACTCAAGCGCTACACTTAAGTACAATTTACTTGAGTATTTCTATTTCCTGCTATTACTCCATTTGTCTGACTCCTTTTATTAGATGGAGATTCAACACAATGGATTTTATAACAAGCTCATAAAAGACTGATTAAAACTTCTGGCTTCCTCTCATGTCTATGGCTTGTTAACAGCTCCACCAAACAGTGACTTTGTCCCCCTCGAAGCTTCTCACATGGTTTCATTTAAATATGATCCAACATCTCAGCATGTAGCAAAACAATGAAATAAAAAGTGGAAACAGATTCGTATATCAGAACTTTTGTTTTTTTTTTTTCTTCTTTCCTCGCCCATTAATCATGTTTGGAGGCATCACATTTATTTTGCTGTCTCTGCATATAAAACTGGATGTAAAGGAGTTCAAACCTGCAGCTGCTCCAACAGCAACGTGCTGCCGACACACTGACGCTTCACTGTTAATAATATAATATTAAATCAGTCGGAGAGGCCAAACCAGGACTTCAACCGCAATGCTTTAACTATATTTTGCTGCAATTAACTTTAACTTAAGTGTGATTTTTCTTGGAGGACTTTTACTTGGCTCTGTGCAAGAAGCAAGAAGGTTGCCGGTTCGCGTCCCAGTGATCTCTCTGCATGGAGTCTCCATGTTCTCCCCTGTGCGGGTTCTCTCCGGGTTCTCCAGCTTCCTCCCACAGTCCAAAAACATCCATCCATTATCTATACACCGCTTTATCCTCACGAGGGTCGCGGGGGGCTGGAGTCTATCCCAGCTGACTCAGGGTGAAGGCAGGTTCACCTGGACAGGTAACCAGTCTATCACAGGGCTACACTTAGAGACAGACAACCAAGCACACTCACATTCACACCTACGGACAATTTAGAATCACCAATTAACCTCAGCATGTTTTTGGACTGTGTCCGGCTTCCTGTGTGGGAGGAAGCCGGAGAACCCGGAGAGAACCCACACTGCACGGGGAGAACATGGAGAGTCCACGCAGAAAGATTCGGGTGCCTCCATCGGGACGCGAACCGGCGACCTTCTTGCTGCGAGACAACAGTGCTACCAACTGAACCACCTTGCAGCCCATCCAGAAACATGTTGAGGTTAATTGGTGGTTCTAAATTGTCCGTAGGTGTGAATGTGAGTGTGCTTGGTTGTCTGTCTCTAAGTGTAGCCCTGTGATAGACTGGTTACCTGTCCAGGTGAACCTGCCTTCACCCTGAGTCAGCTGGGATAGACTCCAGCCCCCCATGACCTAGAGAGGATGAAGGTGTAGAGATGATGGATGGATGGACTTTTACTTGTAATAAAGTACTTTCACTTTGCTGTACCTGAAATTAAGTGAAGAATTTGAACACTTTCAAACATGACCTAAAGTTACCATCTTGGCTTTCTAGCAGTTTAACTATCACTCTCCTTCTGTCCAAACCCACATCTTTCTCCCTCATCTCCTCCTCCGCCTCCTCCTCCTCCCTCGATCAACCCTTCCCCGTCTTCCCTCACATGTCAGCGTTTGATGTGAGAAGCATATGTGTGTCACGGCTCAGGAGAGAGAAGGAAGAGAGGCAGCTCACGGCGAGGAAGTGGAATTTTCCAGCTGTGCGTTGGACAGCAGAAGTGCTGAGACAGCAGCCTGCCTGACGTGACAGCAGGAGCAGAGCTGCTGAGCAACGCTGCCTGGAGAGGAGCTCCGTCAAATTAATTTGTGACAAACACACATGCATAAGCGCACAATCTGCCCGCACAATCACCGCCGTAATCCTCTGCGCCGGAGGAACAGTTCAGTCGACACGGGATCAGATAGAGCCCTAACTCCCATCATATTTGTTCTCCTAAGCCGCGGCATTTGGCAATTGGATGAACCAATAGGCAGAGCCGAAATGGGTTTAAAAACAGCAACAAAGACCTAGTTGTGTCTGTCTGTGAAGTGCAGAGAGGAGCAGCAGCCACACTGGGAGCGATGCAGGCCGCTCTGCAAACCGTGGAAACTGCCTCAAGCAGCATTTTGAATCATCCATTATTTTGGATTCTTCAATCTGCCACTCTGATTTAGAAAATAGGGACTTTTTTTTTCATGCGTTTGAGTCAGTTTTGAAGTCTTTGTTTAACATGGGAGGTGGTTCTGTAGGAGACACAGTGGATACGAAGGGAGGAGACAGAATGAAAAGAGTATTAAAGTAAAACTCTCAAAGGGCAGCAGCGTGAGTTGAAGCTCTGTCTGTGTGACAGGTTGTCAGACACATGGGACTGAATTTACTACTCTAATCCTCACTACTGCTCCCATCTGGACCAAGGTCGCTAACAGTTCAGCCGCCGGTTTGGAGATGATTCTGAATCCAAGTCAGCAAAAATACAAGAAGCCTCACCGGTAAATATTTCGGAAGCAAATGTCACATCACCGGTGGGAAGCTCTAAATATAGCCGAGGAGCTTTTATCTTTTTCGAGTATGGAGTGTTTGGAGTGTCACTCTGACTGTAGGCTGGTGCTTTTCTTGCACTGCTCGTCACAAGCACTCGACATTTACAGAAAAGCTTCTTGTTGTGGGAGACGGATATTACGTGAAAACAATACGGGATCAACCACCAGGGCTGAGAAATGAGCAACAACAACTGCAGTTCCATCAATATCCACTCAGTCCAACGTTAGTCAATCCCTACAGAGCATAAATAAAAGACAAACTGGGTTTAAAAAGTGCCTTAAACCTGCATTATTTTCTAACAGCCAGCAGGGGGCGACTCCTCTGGTTGCAAAAAGGAGTCACATTGAGATAATGACCCAGTTTTCTCACGTGATTTATTACCTCAGTAAACATTTTCTTGATGCGTTTGTGGTCTCATTTGCTAGTTTTAAGTCTCCTTCAATACAGCATGATGTTATTTTGGTAAATTATGGTTGAATTTAGAGTGAAATAGACGATAAATCGGAGTACGCTTAAGGTGGGGATATCTTGTGATTGTGGCTTCCTTTAGTTCTCTCTTATCTCATCACTTCTGGTTGTAAAAGAGCAAGATGACGACGGACAAATTCCAAACTCAAGGCTTCTAAACAGTCATCTTCAAATAAATGTGGATTAGTCCATCTTTAACATACAGTCTGTGGTCAAACCCCACAGACCCCCAAGTTAAAATGTCCGACTGTGCAGCAGACATAAACATGTTTACACTCTGGTGGTCTCCATAGTTAACTTCCCCAAGAATTTTTAAGTAACTCACCAATTTCTATTTTACTAAGGTTTAAAGTTGCGCATAATTAAGAACCTGTCACCGCCTCAGCTCCACTCACGCTCCACCTCATTACTCACTTTTGGATTAATCGGAAGTCAGGAGGCGTCACAGATAAAAAACATGGCGACTCAAACCCAACCTCCATGTTCAGAGACTGTCAAATCACTGACTGAATGAGGACTCTGATGGCGACTGTTTAACACTGTTATTTATGTGAGTCCACATATCTGTAGACTTTCCCGAGGCAGGAGCCCAGAGTTTATAGGAAAATTGGGGATTTATAAATGTGGTTTCCCCCAACAAAAGGCACACAAGCCAAGCACGGGAGGTGCCGGGAACAAATCCAAAAGGAAGTTTATCTGCATGTGGCTGTTGAAGTTATTTATTGTAGAGTTTGTTTGTATTTTCAGTCAAACATCTGCACAGGATTTACAGACGTCATGGCTTTACTGACTTTTGGCAGTTTACTAAACTGTATAAACCCCGCAATGACACAAAAAAGGAGCGCTGAGTGGCTGATCAAACTGTAAATTAAACACCAGTCCAAATGTACTTTATTTCGTGTTGCTGTCACGATAGTGTTTCCTAGCAAGCATCAAACAGCAGGGAAACAAATGGTGAACTTTGAAGTGCTAAAGAGCGAGATGTTTCTGTCAGGAGCTGGTGGAGAACAAAAACGGAGCTAAAAGGAGGGTGAATATGGAAATTACAGTCATCTGTTGCATAAATATGCAGGGGTTTTTTATGCATAGAGGAATTTTTAGCACCCCTACAAGAGGCTTAAACATGTGCCAAAGGAAAATCACCAGCATCAAAATGATATGAACTGAGGTAGAAGACAAAAAAATTGACCAGTTTTGCAAATTGGGGTGGCATTACTCAAACAGAACAAACATTTTTGTTCATCAAATGGTCAGAATTAACAGGAAAATGCAAAGATTTCTGTTAAGCAAGTTAGTAAATGCAGACTGGTTATGCTTAATATTAAGCATCATTACCTACCAAAGGCCTGATCAGAGCCAAGAAAAACCCTGACCTCAAGATAAAAACTGTTTCCTAACTTGTTTCCGTGCTCACCAGTGTCCAAAAACCTGTTCCTGTTACATAGAGGTCATTCAGACTTGAAGGTAACAGAGTTTTTAATTTGTGTGCTCTCAGAAAACAAACGTTACCTCGCTCTCTGAGCTTCTATCTCATCTGAAGTCGGTCCATTCTGGACATGGCGCTGGAGAGCTGGACCTAAAGACGCAAAGCAGAAAGAGACACAGATAAAGTGAAGTTGACCTTAATAATCCATTACCAGCGCTATAACGGTAATTAAAATTAGTGCCAGTCAAGACAATTAACCAGCGAATGACAGGGAATTAAACAGCAGTTAATCATTACGTCCTCCGTTTTTGTTTTTTTTCATGTAATGTGCAATGAAAAGCATATTAATCCCTCAGTAAATGAGCATAAATTGATTCATCCACTCAGGCTGTTGAAGGGAGGCAGAATCTGCAGCTGCTTGGCTTTTTGTTTTTTTTTCTCTGTTTGCTCCTGAGAGAGAGAAAACGCTGCTTGGCTCTTAATGCCGAGCGAGTTTGAAATTCACACAAATGTCAAAAACCGGCGCCCAAACAGACGTCAAACAGAGACCCGCGAGTGTTATTCTCTGATGACTCGGAACCCGCCGACGGGTCTTTGTGTTATGGAAAGTAAAAACTGAGCACTCGAGCCAAGTCTGGAGAGTGTTGGAGCTGCAAACAGACAGACTCAGATTGGAAACAGAGGACGGTCTGGCGAGTGGAGTCGACAACACACTGCAGCGAGGTCAAAAGAGAGGGAGAGAAAAAAAGAGAATTTTGACTATTTTTCGCCCCTCCTTGTTTCTTCAAAATCAGCTATTTTGCGTTATTCTCTGTATTATCTCTCTGATGATATGAGCTACAAGGCACTCCGCAATGTAATCCGTTTAACGCCACGAGTGAGATCTGCAGATGAGGAGCCAGATAGCGAATGTAATTAATTTAAGACGCGATAAGACGTCAAGTCGAGGACTTACAATCAAATCAGAGTGAATCATCAGTTTTCAATGAAATATTTCTCATGATTGATCTCTTCTGGGACGATATTAAACTTCATGTTCCTCCCAAAACCAACTTCGGGGGGAAAGATTGAGAATTTACGCTCACGTTTGTGTTTTTGGCAGCCGCCTCTTGGACCTTTCCTCCAAAAACCTTCAGTGGGAGAGTTTCATTTTGCTGATTTATGTTTGGCTAATGGAGAGCTGTAAAAGTGCATTAAACAGAAGCACAACCTGCCGACCTCCGTCCGATGAAAGGTGGCCCTTACGTAACAGTTTTACAGCTCGGCCGGGCCGTTTTCAGGGTCGATACCCGGTGACGACACTCTCCAGCGCTCGCGTCTCTAATGGAAGCGACTCCGGAGCTAATGGCTGCCATTGATCAAGTTGCAGAGGCCCAAAAATAACACGGGGATGACAAAAGGCCTGACTCACGCCGACTATCGGGTACCTCACCGTGTGTACAGGAGCAATGTTTGACCTGCAAGCTAATAACAGCTCGGTTTCCTTGTTATTATTTATCTACAGCTGCAAATTCTTTAATTTCAGAGAGAAGATTTGAGGCTGCGTTATGTTCACTGTGATGCCGGTTTGTTTCCAAAGGTTCAGTGTTAAACAGTGTAAACATTATTAGTGTCTTTTTCCCCATTATTACTACTTTAAAATGGAAAAGTCTCAAAAGTGTGGATTTTACTCAGCTTTTAGTTTAGATTAGATCAGGGGTGTCCAATCCTGGTCCTCGAGGGCCACAGTCCTACATGTTTTAGATTTTTCCATCTTCCAACACACCTGATTCAAATGATCAGGATCGTTGTCAGGCTTCTGCAGAGCTTGATGATGAGCTGATCATTTGAATCAGGTGTGTTGGAAGAGGGACACATCTAAAACATGCAGGACTGTGGCCCTCGAGGACCAGGATTGCCCACGCCTGGATTAGATTGTACTTTATTCATCACCACAAATGGGGAAACTCTCTTGTTGCAGCAGTACAGATGCAGAAAAAGAGCAAAAAATAGCAACAAGTCAACCTAAGAAAAAAATTGTGTACAAAAAAAAAAAGAGGACAAATAAAAGTATAAATAGGAAGAGCACTGCACATAACATATATTGCACATGAGAAATTGGTAGAAATGTGTGAAGGATAATGCACACGAGAAAAATGGGTCGAATATTTAGTCCCTATAGGTGTCATTTATGCAAATTTAACGTCTATTAGGATCTCGGTTAATTGCACAAAACAGCTAAAGATTTTAAAAAGTTAAAGACAAAAAATGTCTGCGTCAAACCTAATTCTTGCACCTACATCAGTCTTAATCATAACTACCAAATGTTAATGTATTTTAACCCTTTAAATGCCAGTTTGTTTACATGATGCCACTGTTGTTTTATTACGGCGAGGTCAGTCAAACTGCCCTGCACACTGCAAAATTACATAAAAAGGGTGCACAGTGTGTTGAAGTGACACTATGGGGTCCTGACGAGGAGAAAGTGTCCGTATATGACAAAAGTGGGAGACACACCTGGATCATAATCTATGTAACATGCAGAAAAATGTAGATTCTGAGGTAACAGAGCAGTTCACACCAAGGGCAGTAGTGAAACAGAAAAGCGGCACATTGTCACTTTAGAGATGACAGAACCGGCATAATCTGGCAGTTTTGCTTGATAGATAAATTACATTAATGACAGAATGATGAAAACTGCTGCTACACTTTTTGGACACCAGAAACAGATGCTGCTTGAACATTTAATTCTCACTATTTACATTTACAATATAATAAATTTGAAGTCAAGAATTTGAGTTTTTACTGAGTTACTGTTTGCTATTTATTACAATTAAAACCAAATAACATAACTTGTAGATGCTGTGAGTAGATAAGAAGCATTTAAAACAATGGAGTGACTGAACAACGACACTACTACTATTACTACTACTACCATTACTACTACTACGACTACTGCTACTCCTACTACTACTACTACTACTACTACTACTACTACACACACATGCACAAACCTAAAAGCGCCGCTGTCATGCAGGAGTTCACACAGTTTTACTACGTACACGACATAGTGAAGAAGAGGAACCGGCTGTAGCAGACACAGAGGCACTGACAGACCCACTCCCTCCTGACCATCTCTCAGCCTTCTTCCTCTTCGTCTCCCACCATCACCTGCCTCTATCTCACCTGCCTTCCTCCTCCCCCTCCTCCCCCTCCTCCCCCTCGGCGGCAGGATCATCTGTCATCTTCTTGTAACCCAAACCAGCGGCGGCAGCAGTGCAGCGAGCATCTCTGGGTAATGTTTCAAAAGCCCGAGTTCGTCCGCGGGCTGCACAGCATAACGTCGCTTTAACATGCAAATATCACAGAGAGCTGATCCTCATGCAGCCCTGGTTTACACCGAGACCGGAGGGCTGCATACTGAAGCGTCTCAATGAAACTGGATGTGCTGCACAGTTGGTATTAAACCGGATGCCTATAGGGTGGTACTACGAAGCAAGTTTAACATACGCAGGATAGGTTTTTGTTATCCGGCTTCACTAAACCTGACTTTAATGTTCATATGAGGCTGGTTATCAACTCACTGGGTCAACTCACGGTGTTAGAACCTACAGTACCCTTGGACGTGTTCCCCTTTTTATTGCTTTTCAACATGAATAACGGTTTACAACATTAGGCATTTTTTTTGGACAAAAATGTACAAAAAAGACTCTTTCATGTCAAAGTGAAAACAGATTTCTACAAAGCAATGCCAGTGCATTAAAAATATCAAATGGAAAACAAGTTATTGTCTAAGTATTCACCCCCGTTAAAGTCCATCCATCCATTATCTATACACCGCTTAATCCTCACTAGGGTCGTGGGGCGCTGGAGTCTATCCCAACTGACTTAGGGCGACGGCAGGGGACACCCTGGACAGGTCATCAGTCTATCACAGGGCTACACTTAGAGACAGACAACCAAGCACACTCACATTCACACCTACGGACAATTTAGAATCACCAATTAAACTCAACATGTTTTTGGACTGTGTGGGAGGAAGCCGGAGAACCCGGAGAGAACCCACGCTGCACGGGGAGAACATGGAGACTCCACGCAGAAAGATCCCGGTGCCCCCACCGGGACGCGAACCGGTGACCTTCTTGCCCACCCCCGTTAAAGTGAAACACCTAATTCAACACAGGTGCAGCAAATTGGTGCTAGAAGTCATCTGAGTGCAGTGAATGTGACTCAGTGATTGTAGTATAATAGTAGTACACCTCTATATGGAAGGTCCAGTCACTGGTGAATCCGTACTTCTGGTTATAATTATCTCATGAAGACAAAAGAACACTCCAGGAACATCTGAAAAGGTTATTGACAAGTCAGGAAATGGATTAAAAAAAATCCAAGTCACTCAATATCCCTTGGAAAACAGTTAAATGGATGATTTAAAAAATTTAAGGAACATGGCACATGTTTAAATCAGGCTCCCTCAAAAACTGGGTGATCTTCCAAGAAAGAGGCCAGTGATGGAGGCCACCAAGACACGTATGACTCCTCTGAAGGAGTTACAAGCTTCAGCAGCTAAAATTATGCATACAACTGTTGTGTGTTCTTCACCAGTCAAAGCTTTACAGGAGAGCAGATTAGAGAAAGTCATAGTTGGCAAAAAAGTTCATATTAAATCGGGACTAATGTTCACCAGGAGGCATGGGGGAGACTGAGCTCAACTGGAAAAGGTTCTTTGGTCTGATGAGACCAAAATTAAGCACTTTGGCCATCAGACTAGACACCAAACTCTGCACGTCATCATAAACACACCATTCCCACTGTGAAGCATGGCGGTGGCAGCATCATGATGCTTCTCAGCAGCACAAAAAGGGACGGCTATTTACGCAACTTTACTTTTTTAATTTTCACATGAAAGACTCCAAAAACCCCAAAATATAATGATTATAATTCAGTGTTGGAAAGCAATAATTAAAGGGGAAAGCATCAAATGACCAAACATGGGCAGATCTACAGCCATGTATTTCTCACAAGAAGAACAAATTATGATCCTAAACCAATAACAGAGGTTTAAAAACATAAAACAAACTAAAAGCAACACAGCTGCTGCAGCCAAAGCAGGACAGCAAGATTTCCAAACATTTATTTTAGGCTCGTTAATGTTATCATTGAGGAACGTGTGGCTCCGACTATAATTACGATTTTGTGCTCCATTTATTGTGTTGCTTCATGCAGCCTCTTCTTAAACAACTGCAGCCTGATTCGTTCAGCTGCAGCGTTGGTGGCGTTAAACAGAGTCGGGAGGAAAGAACAAATATGAAAACATCACTCCATCGAATAAGTAGGTTAACTGCGAAAACTTATAAGGTCAACAAGTGCAAGGCTTTAGAGCTGTAATCAGAGTCTGTTTCAGGATTATATCGCCATACAGAGGCCTGTAGAACAATGAAATGGCTTTGAAACTGCTTGCAATCAACAGAGAACAAGAGGAATATGGTGAGAATCTTTATCTGCCGCTATTGTGTTTGTTAGGGAAAGAAAAGAAAAAAAATGTCTTGTCTTGTGAGTCCCTCCCACTATCTAAGCTCTTACGAATCTTCTTGAATGTGATGCATTTTCCCCGAGAGCCGACTGATCAGAAAGTGTTTTTATATGCATTAATCTAACATCTTGCACATAACCTGCTTAGCTGTGCAGCACTAGTCCTGAAACCTGAGAGTTAAACCTGAAGTTTCCTCGCTAACCTCAAACCCTGCTTCATTGCACAAACCTCAGATGGAGCACTTCCAAAAAACAAGGAAGGTGGCTGAAGTTTAAGATCATTCTTCTGTTCAGTTCAGCTATAGATTAGAGAATATTGTCAACTAATGTGTCTGAGGTCAAGAATAAACTTTCAGCTGCAACTCTATCAGCTGAGAATAAATCTGTATGAATGATGTGATTATAAACTGCAGAACAATGGAACTGGTGGCGATGTTTGGTGTCACTGGTTCTGGTGTCAGAAATCAATCTCAGCCTTTATGTTTTAGTCTTTGATTACGACAGCAGCAAATTACTGTGATACTAAATACAGCACAATGAATCAGAGTCACGTTATAATATGGAAAGTATGTCATAAAGAGATATTTTTAGGTTGTTATGACACAAAACTTGTATTTTCTTGTTCTTATGTGAATAAAATGTTTCACATTTTTCCCAATTCACTGTTCAACATTTAAAAAATGCATATAAACACTGAAACACACACAAAAATACTGAATAAATTATAAGGCCAGTTGCATTTTAATGGATAAAGAGCATTTATTCAAAGGTAACAATGTGTGACACATTGTCCTCTATTACATACTAGAGTTTAGAAATCAAGGGAAAAAGTAATGCAATATATAGTTTTAAAAAATGGAAAAATGTCCAATCTCAGGGCATCAGTGTAAAACTAGCAATAATATTCTCAGTTGCTGCTGTAAACTGAGCTTTTAAGGCATTTTTTGTTCCTTTCACACTATCAGTTTTTGCAGCAGCTGCTTTTGGCTCCACAGAAGCATCAGATTTTTCTTTTTTTTCTTTTTAATTTATTGTATCTTGAAAGATATTTTTATTTATTTATTACAGTGAACATTTGACAGATGTGCTCATTACAGACAACTAAAGGAAAAAATATGCTCTCAAAACTTCTTATTTAGCCTCATGCTTGTTAAAAAAAAATGACATGAAATGGAAAAGCAAGTCTTCATTTTTGTAAAACCTGCAATCAGGTAATTTTGTCTTTTTATCCGATTATCAAACATCAATTGAATCAATATTAAATTAGAGGAGCACCATTTGGATTCTAGCGTTGATATGGTGAATTAAAATAGGCCTTATTTAGTGTTTCAAGCGTGAAATATGAGTTTATTTTGCACATCTCCTGAATTATATCAACCAGAAACTACAATATTTACCCCAGAGTCCAATTTGAGAGCAACTCTGAGGAGAAGAGGTCAAGTGTTGACCTCCTGACCACTAGAGGGTGTCGGCACACCTGTTTACAGAGCGACCGAACGCACGTTATCCTCTACAAACTGTGCATGTGTGTTACGTAACGAGCCGAGGTGCACAGAGATTGCTTTTCCACATGAACAGCACACATGCATGAGGGCTGTAGAAGCTGCTGTTTTATGTGTGAGACAGCGTTTGCAGATTGTGTGTCGCTGCTGTATCGCAGTCAGTCGAATGCGCGCGTCATCCTCCTCTGGTGTATTTGAGCGCTCGTGTTTTGGCTGCTGTCACTCGAGCCTCTTTGTTCCTGGTCCCGTGTTATCAGGCAGATGAAACGATGTGCTCTCTAACACGAGGCCCAGGGGAGATCTTCTCAATGACTCACTCTAATTAAGAGGCTGGAGGGGGGGATGCAGGAGGGGGAGTAATGAATGGCAAGCTGCGACGCTCGCTCCGTCTCTAAATCTCATTCTATCACTCCCCAATTTATGTCCGCCTGCCTCTCTCGTCGTGCCACATAAAAACACTCGCCTGCCTCGCATGTATATTAACTGCTGCTGGAAGTCTTTAAATAGGCCTTCTCCACTGCAGACATTTTGACTTATAGCAGGAAACACCACGAGCACAGCTAATCACAGTAACAGCGGCTCTGTTGCGCTGAAGTGTCCCAGGAAGCAACACGATGAAACGCAGCTGTTATTGATGCTATTAATCAAGTGATTTCCTTCTTCATCCTCGTCAGTCTTAATTACACTCTGACAACAACGACGCAACATCTGTAGTTGACGACTGATGCTCCGGTTGCAGCGTTCAGTTTGATATTTGACCATCTCTGGTGTTACTTTCATAAGGAAATAAGCACTACATCAAGGAGGGGCTGCAGGGTGGTGCAGTTGGGAGCACTGTTGCCTCACAGCAAGAGGGTTGCTGGTTCGTGTCCCGGTGGGGGCACTGGGATCTTTCTGCGTGGAGTCTCCATGTTCTCTCCGGGTTCTCCGGATTCCTCCCACAAATCCAAAAACATGTTGAGGTTAATTGGTGATTCTAAATTGTCCGTAGGTGTGAATGTGAGTGTGCTTGGTTGTCTGTCTCTAAGTGTAGCCCTGTGATAGACTGGTGACCTGTCCAGGGTGTCCCCTGTCTTCACCCTGAGTCAGCTGGGATAGACTCCAGCCCCCCATGACCCTAGTGAGGATTAAGTGGTGTATAGATAATGGATGGATGGATGGACATCAAGGAATAATGCATTATTTTTGATGGACTACCTGTGTTGTGATACAGAAAGCTCCACCGTGTGAGCTCACAGGTTTGTTGCATCTGAAACCCTGGAAGTCTGAATCTGTCGATCTAAAACGCTTTCCAATTTAAAAAAAAAACAAACATATTTTGAGCTTTTGCCTTTACTTTTAGAGCAGTAGAGCTACAGAAGAAAGAGGGGGAGAAGAATATGGAGAGACCTGCAGCAAAGGGTCATCAGCGGGAGTCGAACCCACGACTGCTACGTCGAGGAACTATAGCCCCTGTTTATGGGTCCCTCAATTAGGTGAGCTATCAGGGTTTCTAATTTTATTCATTTGGGTACCTGTCTGCTTGTCTATTGGGTCTGTGACCTGTGCTCCTAATCTGTCTATCTATCTATCTATCTATCTATCCATCTATCCATCCATCCATCCATCTATCTATCTATCTATCTGTGTTTTTCAGACGATGTGTCCCCTTAACACATGTCAGGAAGATAAAGAACTTTTTTTCACCAGATCGGATCCTATAAGTGGGCATCCAAGTAGATTGTTTGTATGTTTTCATTTAACCAAGATTCTCTTTGGTTCACTACAACTTGTGGCTGCAGACAATGAAGAGGTGACAGAAAACAAAGAAACCACCAAACAAAGCTCTGCAGTCGGACTTCTGCTCAAAATCAGAGGTCATATTTGGAGTTGAAATATACTTCAAATAATAAAACACACATTTTATGTTTAATCGGTGGAATCTGGTCCCGTCTGCTGTGGATGCAGGAAGCTTGGAACCTGCTCAATGTACAAAAAAGCAGTCTGCTGTCGATGGTAAACCGCACAATACATGAATAAATACACAAGTCAGCATGCCAGCAGTGGGCTTTAAAGTGTGCAGCTCTGTGTTGTCAAATGTGTTTGTTTTGTTTTTTTTGCTTATGAAGGTTTGAAATGACACTTAGACGTATCTAAACGGCAGCAACCATTAAGAAAAGGTGCTTCAGTTCATTACCTCACTGACCTTTTATTGACTGTTAAACTGCAACCTCACGCTTCTGTGAGACAATTAAAACGATTCTTTGATCTTCTACTGATACAAACTTTACCCAGACGCCCCTCAGCAGAGAACAGGTCGCAGCATTTAGAGGCTTCCTCCTGGAATTTTACTGCATTATTGATACACACCACAATAACATTCGGTTCCACTTATAAACTCCTGCATCAGCGAAGCGAGCGTGTGACGGCCATCTGCGCAGGAATATAAAAAGCTGCCCTTCAGAGAGGTCTCCGCTGTGACACGGGAGAGTTCACCTGCCTCCGGTACGACCTTCCTCAGGCCGATGACAAACACTTCAGCTGCTGACGTGAGGCTTTTCCCTGGTGTTTGAATTTACCGTGTTTACGATCCTCTACTAGTGAGATCAGTAACAAAGAAGCTGAGGGGACACAAACCTCCGTCCTGAGCGCTGAGGACGTTGAGGGCGAACAGCATGGCATTGGAGAAGGTGGTCGCCTCCTCCTTGCTGGCGAAGTTGAGGCCATAGACCTGCCTGGCGTCTCTCCACTGGTGGAAGGTCGGCGTGGCCTGGTTGTACTTGAGGCCCTTCACTATCGAGTAGTTAATAACCACCTGAGAGGAGAGAACAGAGCTGTAAAGAAAGAGTCTCGTGCATCAACAGATGTGGGCGTGGCGATGGAAACACAACACGATCAATGTTCTCGTGTTGCTAGAAGAAAAAGACTTTAAAATGCCAGAGAATTGATCGCACCGCGTTTGAAAGGATTTTCAACGGACTTCTTGTTTTTCTCACGAGTCACATTGTTTGTTCCAGCGTTTACGGCGGCACAGCTCCTGACGAAAGCTGGTTTTGTAGCAGGTTTTTGTGCAGCTTGAAAAAGAACAGTTGAGAAAAATTATTATTATTTCACAGCTACTCACTGTTTTTTTTTTGTCAACATAAACGAGTACACTGATGATTTTTTTAAACTCGAGCTGCACGTGTCCAGATATGTCATTTATAGCAAAATATAAAATTCTTCTTTCTAGGATTTGTTGGTTCACCAGCTCATGGAAGAACCTTTTTTTTTTAGTAGTTAATGAGCTTTTTGTTGATATTTTACTTTTTGAAACTCATTGAAAACTTAAATCACACCAAACAAACTGTAGAACCCGTGGGTCAGAAATGTTGAACTTGCTTTTGCAAAATGACAGAACAATATTTAATAAGGCTGCTTTAAAAAAAAACCCTAATAATAGATAAAATAAATGTACATTTAAAGGCCCATAACTTATTATTCTTTATTATTTATTCATTTTACTTTGGACTCAGTTTAAGCGATTTCGGACAACATTTGAGCCACTTTGGACAGATTTTGTGAAGTTGTATGAACACATTTGAGCCACTTTGGATGAAAATAATATTGGACAATTTTCAAGCAATTTCAAAAACCTTTTGAGTTTGGTTGAGTTTATTTCATTCTGGACAAATTGTGAGTAATTTTGCAGAGTTTTCAAGCAATTTTGGACAAAGTTTGAGTCATTTGAGTCACGTTGGACAAAAACACAAAGCTGGTTAAACAAGTTTGCATTCTGAGGATAAAACTTTTCCCAAATCTGCAGCCATACTGGCCAAGTTCATTTGACTAAAGGCCCATTACTCATTAAAGAGCCCACATTAAGCACGTTTACAGGTTCACAATTTTAATTCTTTGGGTCTACTACATTATGTTTAGATGCTTTATTGCTCAAAAAACACTTTATTTGTACACTGCTGCAGCATCTCTATCAGAAACGCTCTGTTTAGTTGCCCCCTCCTGCTCTGATTGGTCAGCTGGGCCGACCAAAGCCAGGTAACACTGGTTCTGTATGGTAACATCGGACCTCTGGGTATAGACAGCTGCTCATTCTCGCTGCTTGAAAGGTTTTACGCAAATATGTGACACTGTGATGTTGAAAAGTGACAAAAGACTTCAAACGAGGTGTTTCAGGCAGATAAGGTTGGATTTAAAGTTTGTCAATTTGCACAAAAAAGCACCTGCACGCCACATTTAAGTAAGAAAAACGTTGTAGTGTTACAGCTGGAGGTTAGTTATTGACTTTTCTGCCGTCTTTACTGTTGTCACTTCAGCTCTAACGTGTGTTTTCACTCATCACATCACACATAAACACACGAGACAAGCGCTAACGAGCTGCTGCAAAGACTGACAGACGGAGGAAGAAGATTTCATCCAAGTCGCAGCGGAGGAGGATGAGCGCCGCTAAAGACCCTTAATGATCGCACAAACACGAAAACAGAGCGGCTGACAGAAGATCTGCTCCGGTTCTCACTGGTCCAGTTTTAAACCCACTGACATCGCCTCTTATCAAACTTTCCTGCAGCAATGAGTTTATCTTGCAAGAATCGCCCGAGTGTTGCAATCGTCTGGCTGTGCAGTGAAATCTCGCTCTCAGGTGAAATAAACCCCATATCGATGCTTGTTTCACAGAACGGTGCTGCTTTTCTTTTTGTACCTGCTGGTCCTGCAGTTTGACGCCCACCACTCTGAAGGTGTTGTTGGCAGTGTTGTGGTAGATGTTGATGCGACTGAAGCCCTGCTGGCCGGGCTTGATGGGGACCCACTTCTTACTGGTGTCATCGTAGACCATGACAGAGGCCCGGGCCTGGCAGATGCTCTGCTCACTGACGGAAACACAAACAGAGGAAAGACACCGTTAGTTACGAGCAGTTAATCAGCGTTCACTAAAAAAAAATCCACTCTTCTCATAAACCTGTGCTGCTTAATTTATCTCTGAATAAAATGTCCATAATATTCCACAAGTAGTGGATTTTATGAGGTCTTCATTTTTCATCAAAAGTGATTGAATATAATCGTCGTATTCCTGCCTCTTTTAGGATATAGTTCACATTTTTTTCAGTGCAAAATAATAGATTTTTAAGTGAAGAGCGGCATAAAAGCCTGATGATGACACTTTTACAGCCCCATTAGCTCCGATATTAAAATGTCTGACGGGTGAAGTGATTAATAATCATCTGTGTAGACTCTCGTTCATCCAGGTTGCAGTTATCTGAGGAGCTTCAGTCATTCATTTTGCGCAAGTTTATTTCATTTTAGACCATTTCTGAGTCATTTGTGACAAGTTAAGAGGAATTTTGGTCACATTTTGAGTCATTTTGGTTACATTTTGAGTCTATTATGGTAAGTGTGGAGTCATTTTGGACCAAATTATTTTATACTGGACATAATTCATGTGATTTTTGGACAAAGTTTGTGTCATTTGGTCACATTTGAGTCGTTTTAAGACACAAACACAAACACATTTGCATTCTGAAGATAAAAATATTACATTGTGTAGCTTCTCAGTGATCCAGGTCATTGTACTTTGAGGCACATCAGTAGAAACTAAAAGAAAAACACAGTTGTTTTCTACAAGTTTGGAGTCATTCTGGACAATAATCAACTTATTTCTGACAGGTTTCATTTCTTCTTGAGACAGATTTTGTGGCATTTGTGACACGTTTTAAGTAGTTTTTAATATTATAAGACATTTTTGGCAATTTTCCGAACTATTGGAGTCATTTTGAACAAGTTTGGATCATTTTAGACTGTTTTCTAAGTAACTTACGACAAATATCAAGTCACATTTAACAGCTTTGAGTCAATTTCCAAGTCATTTATGACATGTTTTAGCTTATTTTTAACACTTTTGAGAACTGAAGAAGCCTCTTTGGATGAGAAGGTGAAACATGAAAGTGACGTCTGGTTGCTTTTTACTGAAGCTCCCTCGATCATCTCGTTACAATGCAATGCTCTGCTGGGAAACCTCGGCTCCTGGCATCCATGTGGACGCTCCTTCCAGACCAAACACATCCTTCCTTGACAACAGCACACCTCGATGCCAGTAGCCTCCTCAGATCTGGACAACGCGTCCTGATACACCTAAAAAACTGCTCAGGAGCAACTCGAGGATCACAACTATGGGTTGACCTGCCCTCTAAACTCCCCAGACCAAAATCCAAATAACCATTCAGAAGACGGAACAAGAAAAACACACTATAATAAAATGAATGGGCTAAAGTGCGGGAAAGCAGCACTTCTGCTACAACAAACAGCTTTAAATGACTTTTAAATCTAGAGTGCAGGACATTTAAATGAGCATCTGCGACAGTCAAGCCAAACAAGTTCCTACAGGGTTGATAAAACTCTCGTTATTTCACAATCTACCAGAGAACTCCTGCGCTACACACCTGTAACAACACATTTTACCTCAACCAGCAACGACTGGTTCACCAGAGTTGAGATGAAGTCGGCTACAGCAGCTCAGAGTGTGTTGGCATCCAAAGAAGAAAAACAATGCAACTTCAGTGGAAAGATTAAACGTGTTGCATTAATGCGCAGCGTTTTAAATGATGTTATTACAATTCTTAGCACATTTCAAGTTGTTTACACTCCAGACCTTGCAAATTCCTGCACATTGTAAATACTTCTATTGTACTTTTATTACTTTTATAAAACCCCTTGTTTGCTAAACTTGCTTCTTATTCGTCTTTTATCCTTCTTTAGAGCTTTTCTACTTGCTATGATGCACAAAAAGTCAATTTCCTTGAATGTGAACACCTCATCTGACTTTATGGCGCTTATGCTTTTAAAGTAGTTTATGATTTTTTTTTCCCCTCTTGCAATAACTACAATGTTGTGCAGAAATTAAATAAGTTTTTCTACAGCTACTGGACATTTTTTTTCCTCTTCTAGCCTCTATAACAGAAAAGCTTCAACAGGCTCTTTTGTTTGGGAACCACTGATTTAAAACCAACACATTTCCTGGTTTCAAACGGGTCAAAACACCGTCTGGGCATGAAAAAGAAAGTCAGCAGATATAATCAATGGTGTTTTTGAAACTGTCTCGAAGGTCAAACTTTTCCTTTAACTGCAAAACTGAGTCGTCTGAGGAGATAATTACAGCGAACAGCAAGAAAACAACTCAGTCTTCTAATCCTGTGTTACACTAATAGTCTCATCTTAAGCGCTCGTGAAGCATCTGTTGAAGTTCTTAACGAGGCCTGATAGTAATGAGTGTTTGTGGCCTGCAGTGCTCGCCGCCCGTCGACGCTCTCCGCACAAAGACTTGGGCGTAAACGTCGCCGCCCGTTACCAGAACAGCGTTTCAACGACCTTTTCCGTTGCAGACAAACGACTCGCTGGAGAGCCGCGAGAGTAAACAGGGGACGGGAAAATCGACGCGCGAAGGAATAAGAAGGGAAAAACACAAGGGAGAGACGGAGAAACAATTTTGACTTGCAAATGAGATTAACAAGAAGAGTCCCATCTGTGTCTTTGCCTCCTCGCCAAGCTAAAATTAGTGGATCAGCCCTCGAGGCCGAGCGAAAGAGCTGCGTCAGAGAAGAGAAGCGTGGAGAAGAAGAAGAAGGAAAAAAAAAAAAAAGAGAGAGAAAAGAGGGAAAATTCTTGGCTTTTAGAGTAGCGTGAGGCTGCAGCATATGGCGCTGAGAGACAGGAGAGCAGCAGACATGACGGAGAAGAGGATTTTATAGAAATAACAGGCTGACATTTAGCTCATTTGTCTTCCCCACAATTAGATTAGAGGATTGATACAAATGTCATGTCTGTAAGTGTGCAGCCCGGAGGTGATTAGCGTAGCTTAGCACGAAGAGCGGAACCAGGGGAAAAGAGATTGTTAAATAAATAGAAATGTAGAAACTGTATTAATTCATCTCTGTGAATAATCCACGTCAATACAGAGTAACCAACATTTCGAAAAGAATAAAATGACAAATGCACTGTCGTTTTTAGCAATTTTAACTTCAAACACTTGCTAAAACAACAAATGATTGTTTTTAGCTAGCCATGCTAGTACATTAGCATTGTACGCTAAGGATGAATTTGATCATTTTAGTGATTCTAATGACTGTAATATCTCTTCTACTTCAGCTATAGACTATTTTTGCTGTTAATTAACAAATGTTAGCTAATAAGGCAAATTACTCCTGCTACCCTAAAAGCATTAGCATGTTAGCATTCTTATTTGCGTTTATGATATTTGTTCACTTTTATATAATTTCTAACAATGTTTTACATCTTTTTAAATTAATTATTCTTTCAGTTAAGCACTTTGTAAATGTATTAAGAAGAGGGCTACATAAATACATGTATTACTATATTTATCATGGGCGTGCTAGCATGCTGATGTTAGCGTGTCAAGAGCTGCTAGCTTGGCGGTAGGCACTTTTTCATTTGCTCATTTCACACGCAGCACGCTAATGAGGTAAATAATGTTGATGAACATTTCACCTGCTATTTATATAACAATATACAACTTATTTCTATTATTATATAGAGATTTAGAGCTGCTAGCTTGGGTGAAAAACTCTCATTCATTCATGTTACATGCATGCATGTTAGCGTGGTGATGTTGGCGTGTCAACAGCCGCTAGCTTGGCTGTAGACTCTTAAATTTAAATTAAGACACTTCAGGGTTGCTTGTAGCTGCATTTTGGCGCTTTAAATACAGATAGCTGCTTCCATTTTTGTGTTAATCCATGCTAATCACCTCTAGGGTTTAGCACAAACAGGGCAATTTCCCAACAATAATAAACTATGTTAAGTTATGGGACATTTGCAAAAAAAAACTTGAGCTTTCGTGGTTTTTGTGCACCACACGGATGTGCGATTAGATTGAGATGTGGGGAGTTTGGAGGCTTGTTAAACAGTTTGGGCTCTTGGTCATGTTCCTCGAGCTGTTCCTGAGCAGTTTTTGCGCTGTGCAGAGTTGCAATGTCCTGCTGTCATTGGAGGGTTCGCTTGGTCTGCAGCAGTGTTCAGGGGGTTGTGTCAAAGTTATGGCAGCGCAACAAGGCGACAGGTGTTATTCACCTGTCAGTGGGTTTAATGTCGCGGCTGATTTGTGTATTTTGAAAACTTAAACTGTCACCATAGCATCCCTCACTGAGATCTACAGAACTGCTGCAAACTAATGGGTCTGATTCGAGCACAAATACCATAAAACAGCAGCACTTCTATCCATGATACAGATATATCCACTAAAAGAAAGCACCAGGCAACCACTGGGATAAAGGAAACAACACTTTTTCTTCTCTTGCACCTCAAAGTGAAAAAGCATTAGCAGGCAGCAGAAACTTGTAGGACGAGATTCAAACCACACAACAACAAAAAAAGCTTCCTGCGCCGCTCCGCTGCCTGTATTTCAAGCTGCAGGTATAAATAACTTCCTCTCATGTCGAACCCACCGCCACCTTTGATGCACGCTTGAAATCAGCCTCTGCACCAAGCAGGGCAACCACGTGTTTCATTTATTTTTGTTAACTTGTCGAATCTGTTAATTTTTAAAAAGGAGGCTGAAAATGGCATCGAAGGCCCAGGAGCATGAATAAATGACGCTCTTGTGCTAAAAGAGGCTTGAGCAGAAAAAAAACGGAGGAGATGGAGTGAAAAGAGAGAGAGAAGCAACAAGAAAACAAGTTTTTTTAAATTCATTTTTATGATTGACAGCTGTGAGACGCACACACACAAACACAGACACACAAATACAGGAAAGTCGTTTGGATCGACTCGCTGAAAAATTAACAATTGCCGCTCAGGTCATGAATAAATGAGACGCTTCTGAATGTACCTTGACAGCACACAGCCATGCACAGACGCACAC